TCAGGGTTCATTGAGGGTTTTGGGTGTCAGGGCTAGGGGTTCAGGGTTGAGGGCTGAGGATGTAGGAGGGTTTGACCCCAAACCCTAAACCCTAAACCTTAAACCCTAAACCCGAAACCCTAGACCCTAAACCTCAAACCCTAAACCCTAAACCCGAAACCCTAACCCCTAAACCCTAAAACCCTAAACCCTAAATCCGTCCGTCCTACATCGACTTCTGGCCTGCGCCCAGCCCCTCCGCAGACTGGCCTCGCTTCAGATTTGAATCATGGTTTAGGGCTTAGGGGTTTAGGGTTTAGGGTTTAGTGGTTTAGGGTTTTAGGGTTTAGGGCTTAGGGTTTAGGGTCTCCTAAGCCCCCAAAGCCCAGCCCAAAGCCTCTAAATCAGCAGGTAAACTCCTGAAGCTCCCATACACGGGGTCCTCGTGTTGATAGGGTTCAGGGTGTAGGGTTTAGGGCTTCGGGTTTAGGGTGTAGGATTTAGGATTTAGGGATTAGGGTTTCGGGTTTAGGGTTCAGGGTTTAGGGTTCAGGGTTAGGGTTTGGGGATTAGGGTTTAGGGTCTAGGCAAGAAGGTGTTTAGGGGATTAGACAAGATCCTGCTCTGCCCGAAGTACGCTAAGCTGTGATAAGTATGGTCGTTTCCCTATTCTGGAAAATGCAGGAATCCCGAACCCTTGGCCCGATAGCCCGAAGCCCCAAGCCTTAAATCGGGAATGCTAAAGCCTAGTACTTTAGGGGTTTAGTAAGGGTTTAGGATTTAGGCGTTTAGGAGTTTAGGAGTTTAGGGTTTAGGGTTTAGGAGTTTAGGCTTTAGGGTAAAATCCCAAACCTTGAACCCGGAATTTCCAAGTAAATCCCCCTGAGCACCAACATGAATGAACGGAATTTCCCGTTCTCCCCAGAGCCCAATACAGCTCAATTAAGGAATATAGCTTAAATTATAAGGGGCCTCATATTAAGATTTAAGCTATATTCCTTATTTAAGGGGTATTGGGCTCTACGGGTCTAGGAAGGCATAGCCTCATGCGGGAGAAGATCACTCTGTTGGCTTTGGCAGGCGGAGCAGATGCAGGCGCAGTTGCAGCGCCAGGCGCACCAGCGCGACATGGAGCAGCTCACGCCTGGCCATGCCAGAGACGTGCAGTGCATTGCAGCAGCTGGCCTCGATGATGGGGTTTAGGGTTTAGACTTTAGACCCTATAAACTCTAACCCCTGAACCCCAAACCCTAATTAAACCCTAAACCCTAAACCCTAATTAAGCCCTAAACCCTAAACCGGCTTAGGATTAGATGGGTTCTGCTCCTTTGGCCCCTGACGGGAGGGGTCTTGCCCATGAGCCCGAAACCCTAAGCCCTAAGCCTGATAAGCCACGCACCTCCGGAGGTCCGCATGCAGGACATCGAGCGAGCCACTTCTCTCGACCGACTAGGTGCGTGCATGCAGGCACCTCTGCCGAACAGCGGCTGACTGGGAGGGGGGGTTTTCACAAAGGCATCATGCAATGTAGTACCTAGCGGGTCCATATATACTACTATATATGGAATTAGGTCCCCAAAGCCATAGTAAGGATGGTCTTTTTGGGGCCCAAGTTCATAATGGTACTATAGATGGACCCTCTGGGTAAGTGTTACAACAGCAGGGCGCCGGTTCACAGAGTCGTGTGCTTGTATTGCCGAATCTTCGTCTAGCTATCATTCGGCCGATACAACGGTTTCGGGTTTAGGGTTTAGAGTGACGCAAGCATTTGTACACAGGGTAAGACCAGGCATTTGACAAGATCAGGTACACAATCGCAAGGCTTGCGGTGTAACATCGGGGCTTTGTTAATTACCTATACTATACTGGGGTTCCTTTTTATAATTATAAAAGACTATCACCCAAAGCCCTATGCTAATTATTAAGACCCGTACATTAGCAGTCGAATCACCCATCACCTTGTAAATGCCAAGGCTCTGGACCCAAAAGCCCTCAACAACCTTACCGGGACCAAGGCCCTTAAGGGAACCCTCAAGTGAACATGAATCTTTTTAAAGGGCCTTTAAAGAACCCTTCAAGGAACCCCTTAAAGGAATCCTAGAAGGAACCTCTTAAAGGAGCCCTCAAAAGGAACCCTTAAAGGAATTCCATAATGAGCCTCTTAAAGGAACCCTTTAAAGGAACCCGTGAACGGAACTCCCTAAAGGACCCCCTTAAAGGAACCCTCCCTAAGCCGCCCCCCTCTGCTTCCGAGGCTTTGGATATATCGGCCGAGGAGCAAAAGGGGCTGATCTAGGGGCTTTAGGAAGGACCCTTGTAGGTTACTGGGGTTAACAGGGAGACTCCTTCTTGGACTATGCAATAGTT